TATTTTCTTGTATTTTTATCAAACAAGATAATAATCAATTCTTAATACAATCATTTTGATTATTATTGACATTATCATCATTCATTAATATCAACATTATCAACTGTTTTATATTCTAAAATGATAATGAATTTATCAAACAAACAATAATGAATAAAATGAATAGTATATAACATCAAACAATCAAAATAAATTAATCAATCAATTTAATATATTATTTCATGTCATTTATTCTCATTATTCATTTTAATTTCTTAATATTGATAAACTCATTCAAATTTCACATAAACTCATTATTATCTTATTAAATTTAATTTATTTAAAAAACAATTAAAAAGAATAAACACTTTATATATTTATTGTATTTATTCTTGTGTATTGATTGTTTTATACAAATATTCATCATTCACACACTAAATATAAAATATCAATTATTCATTTATAAAAAATAAAATAATTCAATTAGATTAAATATTCATCATGAAAATACTTCAAATTCATCTTGACTGACTTTTCTAAATGCTGTATTATTTGAATCTTCAACTCCTTTATTACATTGTTTGTCATTTCCATTTTGTGTTTTACACAATTGGTTAATTTCATTGAAATTCGTTTCATTTTGATTTATCATTGGTTCTGTCAATTGTTTTCCATATTCATTATTTTCATTATCATCAACTTTATCATCATTATTCATTTTCATTTCATTCTGTACTGCAACGTTGTTTTGTATTGGATATTCAATACCACTCTCATTTGTTATTGTATTTCCATTTATCACTTCTTCTCTTCCTTTCATTGGTTGTTTTTCATTTAAAGATGTTGTTGATTCATCACATCCATTATTCATTTCATTTCGTGTCATATATATTTTCTTATCTATCATTACTGTCATTGAATTATGTTGTATCCACATCGAATCTCCTTCTTCGTTGCATCGTTTCAAGAATGAATTGTATTGACCTTCATTGAATACAATGATAGTTGGAATTGATTCGAGAATGACTGAACTGTATTTGATGTTAATTTTAATACTCTCTCCCCTCGTACTACAAAGTGCTTTGAATATATCCCATGAGAATGTTTTGAAATTACAATCATCATATAATCGAATGTCATAATTCTTGAATTGATCAACAGTGTCAAACATAATTTCACCTCGGTGATCTTCTATTTTTACTCCTCTCAATGCATCTCGAATAAACTCCGTTTTCCCAGTTTTTGTTTTACCAACAACAAATAATATCGGCACTCTCTTTTCTTTTCTTTCCAATGCTTTCTTAATCCACATTCTTATTTCTTTTACTTCTATCATTTCCTCTTTCCATGGATTTAAGTGAATATGTATTTTCCTTGATTCTACTATCTCCTCAAAATGCTCTTGATTCCATTTCTTCTGGAATGTAGAACAACTTGTTAACCACCTTCCATAACTCGACCCTTGTAATATTCTTGTTGCTTCTGAATAATCTGGACATTCAAGTGCTTCTTTTATAGCTTGATCCCATGTTATTTTAACTGATTCACTAAACATCCCTTCTTCTTCATATTTCTCATGTTTCTTTAAATAATTCCTTATGTTTTGGTATGACCCATCCATATCACATATTCTTGAAATATAACTAAAATTAATATGCATTTTCTTCCCATGTATTTTTGTTTCTGGCTTTTTGTTGAATTGGAAATTATTATTCAATTGGACATACACATGAGAGTGTGGGTGTGTGTTTTGACTAGATCCTTTCCCATTCACTCCAACTCCAATCCACTTAATATTGTTGCCACATCCAAACCTTCCTATTATTTCTTTTGCCTCTTCCAAACTAATAACTTCATTAATTTCAAAATATATGTTTTTCCCATGGAATTTGAAATATCTCTGTTGTTTTGACATTCTATGTTTTTGTTTGTTTTTCTCAACCTTTTATTTCTTCATCCACGTGTCAAAGAGACAATTTTTGTTAAAATGTCTGTTTGAGTCATACAGATTCTAATAAAATATAATAAAATATAGTATGTTTATTTTACAACACAGACCTTCACATTTCATTCATCCTTATGTAACTCTTGATGTGTTGTAGTAATACTTCACAATGTGTTGATTGTTTTTATTTATTTAAAATGGTTAAAGTAATGATACAAATACATTTATGATGATGAATATTCAATGAAAAATGAAATAGAAAATTGTATGATATAAAATAGAAAGATGATATAAAAACCAAATCAAACAAATAATGTATATCACATTAAAATTGTGTTAATTATTCAATCAACAATATTAAAGGAGATTAATTCAATAAAACCATATTTGTGATTAATTATTACTTTAAAGTGCAATAAAAATGAATGTAACACGATGTTGAATAATGAAATTATGAATGAAATAAAAATCATTCTATTATTCCATTCATTCTAATAAACTTCTATCTTTTCTCTTCATTCTTCTTATTTGTTTAATGATTGTTTTTATGCTTTTTCAACATTTATCAGTTGTTATTTTATCATTTAGTTTATTTTTATTTGTTATATTTTCATATTGGTTTATTTATTCATATTATCATTTATTCTAAATATTTCATTTTCTATTCTTCAATCTATTAAATTGAATAAAGAATGATAAAATGAAATGATAATAAAAGTGATGATAATGAGTGTTATATTTACTTATTATTAGAATGTTTATTTGTATTGAATTGAATGAATTAACAAAGTGTATTTGAAATAAGTCTAAATGAAATATTCAATAATGATAGATTTTTCATTTTTCATTTATTATTATCATTTATATTCTTTATTAATACACAATTTCATTCTTAATTGTTATAATATAATGAATTATGAATATACCCAAGAATGAAATGATTGTAAATCATTCTAACATGTTTTGTTTTATTGTTTTATTCTCTATTCATTTGTTATAAGATGTTAATAACATAGAAATGAAAAATGAAATGTAAATTGATATTTCATTAATATTCAATGTATTGAATAATAATCAATAATCAATAATCAATAAAAGAAATGAAAATGATGTAACAAATAGTTTTTATTTCATTTATCAATAGAATCACTCATTTGTAAATTAGAAATAATAACCTTCATATAAGAATGATGAATATCATATCATTTATATTTCATTCAATAATGATGTAAGATTATTAACTTATTAAATATACATTGTGTTTGTTATTCAAATATTTGAAATGTTAAATATTCATTTTGTTTGTTAAAATATTATTTCTGTTGTTCCATCATTTCATAACAAATAAAATCGAACCAACAAATAATCAATTTATTTCAATTAATACTAATTGATTTTAAAACTCATTTGTAGTTATGAAGAGATGCTTGTTATTTACTGAATAATATAACTGTATTAAGAAATAAAAGAATAATCAATTAAATATATTAACTGATTATTATTTGTGTTTTCCAAACATATTTCATTATTTTACTCACTATTAATGACATTGTAGATATAAAAGTAATTATTTGGTTAACAAATAAAAAAGTATTTTGAATAAAATCAACAAAAATTAAATATAACAAAGAACTGTTAAGATTATACTTAAAATATAGAAAACAACCCAATAAAGAAAATGAATGAAATAAGATAAGACAATAGAAATTGAATAATTAAAATATTGAAGAAAATAAAAGGAGATAATACATAGATATGAAAATAAAAGAAAAAAGAAAAAACACCAAATTAAATACATATAAAGAAATGGATATAAAGTACGAAATGACAATAAGACTTAATTAACGTAATTACCATAACAAAATAATTAAAAGATAAAAATACTCATCAAAATATTAACACTACACATCACATTGTTTCGTCTAATAAACTATGAAAATTTAGTAGAAAATATTACTCTCAGAATAATATATTTTAAACCAACTTATATAACAGAATTAACAACTATTTAATTTCAAGAATAGTCATTACTCAATAATTAATTGCATTTAAAGTAACTGTGTTTA